CCCCAAATTGGGCCCCCCTCAGGTGAGACCCCTCCCCAAACTGGAGCCCCCAAAGGGGGAAGCCCCGAATTTGGGGAGGGGTCTGAGGCTGGGTCCCCCCAGGCCCCCCCGGAGCCGTGAACGCCTCGCTGGGGCTGGCGCTGGCGGCCGGAGACGACGCGGCGCTGGTGAGACCCCGAGCCGGGGGGGACCCCGAACTGGGGGGGACCCCGAAACTGGGGGTTTTGGGAGGTTCTGCCCCAAAATTCGTGGTTTTAGGAGGTTTATCCCCAAAATTTGGGATTTTTTTGTGAGGTAGGACTCCAAAATTTGGGGTTTAGGAGGTTTGGTCCCAAAATTTGGTGGTTTTGGGATGTTTCTCCCCAAAATTTGGGATTTTTTGTGAGGTAGAACTCCAAAATTTGGGTTTTTAGGAGGTTTTGCCCCAAAATTTGGGTTTACCGGGGGGGACCCCAAACTGGGGGGGGACCCCGAAACTGGGGGGGACCCCGAAACTGGGGGGTTTGGGAGGTTCTGCCCCAAAATTTGGGGTTTCTGGGAGGTTTTGTCCCAAAATTTGGGGGTTTTAGGAGGTTTCTCCTCAAAATCTGGGATTTTGTGTGAGGCAGAACTCCAATATTTGGGTTTTAAGGAGGTTCTGCCCCAAAATTCGGGGATTTTAGGAGGTTTCGTCCCAAACTTTGGGGTTTTAGGAGGTTTTGTCCCAAAATTTGTATTTTTTAGGATGTTTCTCCCCAAAATTTGTGGCTCTGTGTGAGGTAGAACTCCAAAATTTGGGTTTTTAGGAGGTTTTGCCCCAAAATTTGGGTTTTTAGGAGGTTTTGCCCCAAAATTTGGGTTTTAAGGAGGTTCTACCCCAAAATTTTAATTTTTAGGAGGTTTCTCCCCAAAATTAGGGTTTTTGGGAGGTTTCACCCCAAAATTTGGGATTTTGTGTGAAGTAGAACTCCAAAATTTGGGTTTTTTAAGGAGTTTTGCCCCAAAATTTGGGGGTTTTAGGAGGTTTCTCCTCAAAATTTGGGATTTTGTGTGAGATAGAACTCCAAAATTTGGGGATTTTAGGAGGTTTTGCCCCAAAATTTGGGTTTTTAGGAGATTTTGCCCCAAAATTTGGGGATTTTAGGAGGTTTGACCCCAAAATTTTAATTTTTAGGAGGTTTTGTCCCAAAATTTGGGG